CTCAAACCAATGGTGAGTGATTGCACCGTTGACCCTTAGTGTGTAAAACATCTCTGGATCTCAATTACTTCAGTTTTATACCTGATCCATTAAACAGCAGGCCTGCATTCCTAGATGTGAAAATAGAAAGGTATGTCTGGACAACGTTTTTCTATTCTATCCCCAAATTACTTTCCTTTGTCAATACTTCATTTCTTAATTAATTTAAGGCCGTTAATAACATATTTTTGTCATAACAAGGTCCCGATGAGCGCCGCTACACACATTGGAAACAGACAGTTTTTTATCTTGATAATGGCGATGATGACTGTCTAACTGTCAAGAAAGGAGAACAAATTAACGGTGTGATGTCTATTAAACCAAATGAACGAAATAACGTGAGTTGATTTAATTTTAGCTTCTAACTGTTAATGCCATTTTTCTGAGTCCCGTAGTACTGTACCTACATCAAACACTGCATCACACTTGTATATTTTTCAACACCATAAGAAAATAGTGAACAGATTTATTCAGCATTATTAATCATAATATAATTTCTGAAGGTTCGTTACTCAGAGTAAGTTTCTGGATTTTCTTACTAAGTTTTAAGTTCTGATTCAGTGTGCTTATGAAGTCTGATTTACTGCCGATTAGAAAGGGTTTGAAGTAATAATGTACTGAAGATACTTTTCAACATATACTGAAATATTTTACTACATGTTTCAGCAGTCACTTTGAAACCAAACAGCAGTGCTTATCTAACAAGTAAGATGTATAAGCGGATAAATGAAATAAATACATCACACTGCTACAGTTAGTTGATTCTCTATTCACTATAAACTTGTCATACTGTCTAATATTTTTGTTTGTGGTAAGCTCAAAAATGCCATTCGTCAACTGGAAATTGTTTTTGCTTGTTTATTCCTTATTGTAGCGTGATCTTGATATCAACATCAAAGTAGAATTCGAGGGAGAACTTTCGTCGATCGACACAATGTTTAACTATCGTATGCGCTGATTTGTCGCCCAAGATGGTTTGAATTGGATCGTAATCAAAACTTTTAAAAGATCTAATTTCAAAATCCTTGCCTTCAATGTACAACCTTATTCTGAACAGCATTTAATTATGTTTTAATCCGCTAGATTTATCAGGGCATTTTCTTCGCTCTTATGAATTCGTTTCCCTGTGTGTGTGTATTATTCCGTCTTACTTTGTTTTTATGGTGGATTTTTCAATAAAATAGATAAATGACTTTCGTTACGTCTCATTTCACGTAGAAAACCGAGCATTCTTGCACCATACGCATATTTGTTGTAACATACATTATGACAGGTTGTGTAGTGTTCTAGACACTTAAACGTAAGATAAAATTCGTCCCACAATTATTAGCATGGCATAACGCGTAGCGTTATTTGTCTCTGTATGCGAATGTGATATGGACATAACTAGTTCTGAAAGGCTTAAGTTATTACTGTTTCCTTCAAAATTACTCAAAACGATGCTGCTAAGTTGGTTGCCAGCAGACACTGTGATTTGTTAAGCCTTTGATGTATCAATAAATATTGGAGTTGCGAAACAAATTCAAGCCTATGGTGGACAGAAAGTGAGGTGAGGAAATATCAGCTACATAGTGTTCAGGTAATCCACTTATATATAATAGAGTCAGGATGTGCAGGGCAGGCAGTCAGTTCAGATGACCTTCAGACATTCAACAAGTGAAGAATCCTGTAATAGCCTCGGAGAACCCAGTTTGTCGAATACGGTGTGTTTATTAAAAAACCCAATAATGGGTCATGGTTGACTGAAGGTTTCTGGCCATAGGTGTTTTCTAAGAATCGCTCGTTTTTTATGGGGCAACCGGGTGAACAGTGTCGAAGTTAAGCGTAAGGGACGTGTTCCACTTATGTTTAACTACCGCCGACCACGATGAGTGATGCTTGCTGATGCAGAATTTGAGGAGGACTAGGGACGTCGAATCGAGGCGTGTCACCAGTCCATAAAGTCATTGACTGTTAATCTGAACCAGGTTATTCTATGTAGATTACCTGGTAAGGGTCTGAGTGATCACAATCAATGGTTGGAAACTTCTGGCGATACGGCAAATTCATTCACAATGGTGCGGATCCCTCCATTCATGAGTGTTAGTATTCCGCTATACAAACCTTTTTACTCCGTCTTCCCGAACCTTATATGTAAAGCACCTACGTTTGTCATTATTAATACGTTATGTCAATCCTTTTTGTTATTTTCATGTCATCGTGTTAATCTAGTCTAAGAACATAGGCCAACGTAGATCTGTCCGAAGCCCTATGTTGATTTCCGTTTATAGGGCATTTATTTATGGTCTTCAACGGTTAGACAGCACAAGTCGACAGTGTTAGTAAATCTTAAATGTAATATAGAGTGCAATTTTTGGAATGTTGATGTACAGCTGGTGGGTAGTGCGCGTTGACTACATGCAAATTACTGTATCATCGTCTAAGATATTTGATGTTTGTATGGACTAAATATTCCTCTGTACTCGATTTCAAATTCCGAATGCAATGCGTTCATTAGTGCTCATCTAGTTTCTCTTGGTCTAAGTTGAGTCATTTCTGGGATTACTAGTATGTATAATAATTCAAATACTTCTAATAACCACATTGGTACCGCGAACAGGATTCTGTGATGGAACAATTGGACATACGTTCAGATTCTGCTCTTGAGGATTATATATGAAAAGGTTGGGAACGTGGACTATGACCAAGGAAGGTATTGAAGATGTTAATATTGCGGCTCATTTCCTTACAATCATCGGAAAAAAAAGCATACAACCTATTAGAAACTAGCATTTCCAGAAAAGCCTATTCCACCTCCCTATGCAATTCTCAAGGAACTACTACTAGACCATGTAAAGTATACAAATTTCAAATGCTGTAAAGAAGGAAAATTTCATAAAATAATTTTTCAGAACATCAGCAATTCCACTACGTCTTAGTCCCATGCGTAATCAAGGTTATTCGGAAAATTCATTGAAAAGTTGCGAAGTAAGTCACGAAGGTGAGCACAAATTTAGTAAATGCTTGTTCTGTAGCACGTTTCACTCAATCCATGTGTATTCCAAATGCGGTAAGATTGGACACATTTAGTCAGTTTGTATTACTACTGTTTATTTCGCTGCAACTAATGCTAAGCCTAGCAATTCCGATCCTATTAAGTTGAATGTTTCAAATGGATTATACTCGAACCAGATTCATATATTTCTAATGAAATTATTTATAAATATGTCGAGTGCATCAAAACTCATGTTGTTGTGTGCTATTTATATCGACGTAAGTAGTACATGATGTTAGTCGTAAACAGAATGTCTGGCAGCAGAGAGACAAGATGATCGAACAGCAAAGGATGAAGACGAAATGCAATTTGTATGAAAATGCAAGAACAATGAAGTCTGAGTCATTTTGAGACAATTGATGGACATTTTGCAAATTGGTCATTTAATATATGGTTGTTGGATTTTATTAACAAGTTCTGCAATTTGTTGTTTAATACATTCGATTGTTCTCACTGGTGTTCTTTTTCACTACAGTTGTACCAGATATGGTTTTTCCTGATGAAATCTCTTACGAATCTGCGTAAAATATGTTGAATGAATCAAATCATGATAGAAAGTCCGATGCAATTTCGATAGTTGCTGATTTTTCTAATGAATGATCGATTAGTCTCCGATGACATTCTTAATAAATTTGAAAAAAATATTTCAAAAGAATCAAATCTTAATGTTATATAAATATTATTTGTGGGAAAGTTGTTCAATGCGAAGCACGAGTCCTAAAGGAGCTCGATTTTGATTGCAATTCGTGTGATTTCATATCGAATGTTGTTCATACTTATCAAGAATCCTCTAATCAATGTAAGAAGTATGTTTTAAATGTAACCACATTACTCTTAACTTGGCGATATGAGGATCCAACATTATTTCGTGTGGGAAGATAGTGCTGAAAAATTTACGGTTCAAATTCTAGATACCAGTGGTTTCAGTACATAACCGACATGGTGATTGTATACAATTCCAGGACCCAGGTGAGTCTATTCCAATTTCAGTTGTCAATTCTGATACTAATGAGTATATTCTAGATCATACAGTCTACGTCCACTACACAATCGGACAGACATTTAAGCTGTGGCGGATGTGGTGTCTGTATGAACCAATGATGTCCGCCTGATTTTGAATTCTTAATACAATACGTTCCTTAGTACTCATCTAGTTTTTCTTGGTCTAAATCGTGTCATTTTCGGGATTACTAGTTTGTATAATGATTCAAATAATTCCAATTACCACAATATCTAATGCTCCATAACTTACCATTGACTACAGTAACAGGGATATGTGCTTAGTATGACCATAAACCGTTAGGATAGGAATAAAGTTAAGAAAAAGCCAAGAGCAGTCATTAGTGAATCAAGTTATTAGCTTTTAGTCTGAGCTGTTGGTAGTCCGTGAGATGGTTTTAATTATGATTATTTGTTTTGGATAAGAGTAGCGCTCGTATTTTCACTTGGTCTTTAGTGGATTACAAATAGGTAGTATGAGAAAAACACCAGACCTGTTATTTTAAAATTTCGTAATTACTAGTTATATAGAATTTCTCTATAGTCACTGGTTAGTGCTAAGAAAAATATCCAGATTTGATTACTTTAGGCAAGTCGTCTTCAAGACATACTAACCTATATTTCATCATCGATGGTATGACAGAATCAAATAATCAGCGACAATGTGTAGAAAACCGTGAAAAAGTACGACCTATCAAGTTGTCTTCTGGGATTTTAAAGATGATTTACAGACGACTGGTATCTCCCGAGATATTATAAAACACTAGGCAGCTTTATCGTGTCGGTTCAGTATTAGTTAGCGATATGCACTCAAGAGTTCATGCGAGATGGGATCCTTAACATTGCAGCGAGCAGAATACTATTGGTCCAAAATTATCGATTTTAATTGATTTTTGTCATAATTGCATTATCAGACACGTAGAATGGAGTCTGGAACAAAGGAGTGATAAATTATCTAAATCAATAATTTACCTATTAAGTAGTTGTAATGTAGAAAAGCTTATTCGATGAATAAAGTAATGTGGGAATAATTATTTATGAGGTTGATTAACAAAGTATGGTGATCAGTAGCATAGTTGTTTGTAAATTTATTAAGAAGTATTCATACATGTAGTGAGCCTCGTTTTGTCATCCTTAAAATCCCAATAAAGTCTTTAAACAAGGCCGATTACAAAGTTTTATAGAAAAAATATACAAGATATGTACAGATTTATCCCTGTATTTGTCTGAGCTTCTCAGTGTTATTGATCCCAAGGCGATTACGTGCGATTTCTAAGGCAAGGAACTGTATTCTAGGAACTTTACAAAAAAAGTTTAAATAGAAAGATATCCTACCGATGCAAGTGTTTTCTGGACAGTATCCTTTTGAGGCATCAAGTCTCAATAAAGTACCGAAGTTGAAATCTTCAACTTTCCTTTCAAATTCATTGCAAAATATTCGCCATTTCTAAAGGATGAAAAATAACTCCATTACGCGATTGTAGGGAAAACAAAGATAAAAAACATGGTTAATTCCTGAGACTTTTGTAGTCACTGTAGTAACGATGTTTAGTGTATCTGCTGCTCGACATACCATTTAGAATACAAAAATCAACAGATGTGTCAGAGCAAATCAAACAGGAAATAAGGTCGAGCTTTTGGTGGAAGTCAGTGAGTATTTATATATATATATATATATATATATATATATATATATATATATATATATATATATAACAATTTCGAGAAATTCTAAGGACGGATCCACAACTTACTTCAGTTCAAACTTAAAAGAAAAGAAACTCCTGACCCTTTCATACTACAAAATAATCGAAAATAGTAGTTTTTAAGAATTATACATCTACCATACGAGTACACACTGGTATGGAGTTATTTTTTTTAAATATGGCAAGTATCCAGAGAAACTGAAGTATACTAAACAAAATTCGCTTACAAAATATAGAGCTTGGTGGGACAGTAATGTTATACGACACAGAAAATAGATGAAATGTGTTATAAACCATAAAATATCAATTCTTCAGTTTGAATAGTGCGCCACAGTTACACACAAAGTATATATATGTACTACTTTGGAAGTCAGTTATACTGGTATATTTGTTTGTTTCTAGAGTGATTAGTAACTACAAGGATTCAACACATAGTTAACTTGGGAATTCTTTCGACAATGATCACGTTTGTGGACAACTGATATAAAGTGATAAGGAACTTACTGCTTTTGATTGCTCCGATTTCAAAGAATCTTCAGAAATAACATCTAATTGTATATCACTAAACTCTCCCATAAATTTTTCGAATATGAATTCATCTATGGCAGTCAGTCTTAATTGTGAAGGATCAGAGACTGAACAAAGTAAGCGAAAATAAGCTTCTGCATCACGGAAACAATGTTCAGCCCATTGCATCTCAATATTCGGCTAAATTATATGAAAGTAATACATTCAGTAATTAAAAGATGAAGTTTGAAATATTTTGAGTTGATAAAGTATTCACTATACATTTTGATAATGATAATCGGAGTTATGTTTGATGGCACTATTCACATAATGGTGCTGTTGTAAAGCGTAAGATTAAATAAACACGTGAGTGTAGTAGCTAATGTTCAGTCGAAATTAAGCTTTCCATTAAGATTAATAAAAGCATGGCTCTAACCATACTGATTGTGTTTCTTAATGAATAAATTATTTTTAAAAAATTGTTATTTTTATCTAGAACGAATAAGCTCAGTTGATAATACTAAAAATCAGCTTGACTTTATAGCGCTAAAATTGTTGCCCTTCCTGTATTTTCTGAAAATTGTCTGTCATCGAAAGTTCTATTCTTCAGCTTTCAGCGTATATGTGACTTAAAATATTTGATAATGCCAACCAAGGGACTAACAATGAGTTATACAATAAAATGATGCAACTAAGAAGATGGGTTTATATTTGAACATTAAGTTTTGAGTTACATGTCTAGTTAAAGTAAATGATGACAATTACTCGATAGGACGACAGAAGTTTCAATATGTGACCCATTCTATATGGAACTGGATTGAAGATCCATTCAGAGTGACACGACTGAATTAAGTTAGTGAGTATATAACAGATTTTATCATTCAAAGTCCTTTTCTTGGATTATTTGTTGCGCGCGGGAAATTTTTGATACAAATAAATAAATATATTTGTAATATCCCAATGAGTAGAAAATTAGATTTTCTGACATTTCGTGACTTAGTGTAATTCACTTCTTCAGAGAATAAATAACCACATTATTCTTGCGTTGTTCCGTTGTAGCACTTAAACTTGGATTAAGAAGTGACTTACACTAAGTCACGAAACGTCAGAAAATCTAATTTTCTACTCATTGGGATATTACAAATATATTATTTATTTATAACAATCAACCCAATGCTCAATTTATTCGAAATTATCAAATGAAACCTTGGTAATGATACCTACAAATTTTCGATACAACTGTCCCTCACTATAAATTTCGATGGGACAAGAAGAGAGACAGGATAATAATAATAATAAATTGACTTGTTTTGTGGATTTTTTTTACCTGTCTACAACCTAAAACAATAGTATGAATTTCTCAAAAAATTAAAACTGAAGTCGATTACAAATACAGAAGGCTTCTAAGAATAGTTCATACGGTTAGTTATTCAGAAACTAAAAGTATGAATATTCTACAGAAGAAAAATGAGAAGTAATGAGTGCAAGTATTCAGATGAAAAATTTGTCATAAGTTGCATTCTAATAATCGCAAATAGACTGATTAGAAAAGACACACTTCACCTTACCCCATGGATTTTTGTCTCCGGTGGTATAGCCTATCGGAGTGCGGAGCTAACGCATTCAAAAACTTCAAGCAGTCGTCCCCTGGACACTGCAGTCACGTATGCAGATCTCTAGAACCGCCACTAATTCAGATTCTCCATGTCCCTCAAGATTAACTATCCTTTCACGGTGTAAACAACCAGGAAGTGACACCCCCTCATGCCGCCTTTAATAACACCCAAGATCATCTTGCTGACGATCGGATCACTCACCTACCCCTAAATAATTCTATCCCTGCGACTAACCATCCTCATATACCTTTGTCACTACTCACCACTAATGCTAATGATTTGAGTTTACGCAATGTTATTCCTGGTCTCTTAAAACTACATTTTAGGACTTTTAATGTTTAGACCTTGTGTCAGATAAAAAACAGACTTCCTTAGCTAGGACACTAGAATCTCGAGCTATCGACTTATGCTTTACCTCCGAAACGCACATACAGGATCCAAGTAAGACAATTTATTCGATCTTACCTCGTCAATGTAAGGACCGGTACGATTTACCCTTCGAGTATCTCGGGACCCCAACCCTGCAGCTTCGCTGGTCTAAGTAAAGCATTAAGTTCAAAGGCAGAACAGGATCTGTTAGAATGGATTTCAATAGATATTCGCTTGTGCGTTGTTCAGGTGAACAGGACAGCAATAACTAGGAAAGATAGGGATACGCGTCACAATCACTGATTGTCCCAATATATACGAAAGGGTCGAAATCATCCTGTGATAACCTTAGAGGGATTAGTTTGACTATAGCATCTAAAATACTAGCCTCAATAATTATCGGACGCCTAACAAAGAGTCATGAACTGCAAACACGAGAAAATCAGGCTGGCTTCAGACCTGGTCGTGGCCGTATTGACCTCATATTCACCATTCGTCAGCTTCTAGAACACAGGCATGTTTATAGGCGTCCGACAACGGTAGTCTTTCTTGACCTAAAAGCAGCATTTGACTCTGTAGACCAAGAGGTTTTGTGGCAGTTTCTGTCATTGAAAGGCACATCAGAAGTACATAAAACTTTTAAGGGCTCTTTACTTGAACATTACTGGTCGAGTCAGGGCTTACAGCGAACTGTCCGACAAGGCTGTCCACTCTATTTTTGTTCAACTTTATTATAGACAAACTGATGGAAATAACGCTCTCGGGCATTGATCTCCTACCGGAAGGTCCTCTTATCGACTTGGAATACGCAGATGTCCTGTTTGGTGATGACGTTGATAAAATGCAGTCTTTTGGCAGAACTGAGCAACAATACCAGAATGTTTAAGATGCGCTTCTGCCACTCTAAATTCAAGTAGTTGCTCCAGGACTGGCCTGCGTCAACACATAAACTAAGGATAGGGAGTGAAATAGTCGTACGCATTGACTTCACTTATCTTGGAAGTCTGATCAGCCCTAATGGATTGGTGTCTGACGAAATCTCTGCACGGATTTAGAGAGCTCGTTTGGCTTTCGCCGACAAGCGTCACCTATGGCGAAGGCGAGATATCCGTCTATCAATAAAAGGACGAGTATACTGCTCAGCAGTTCGTTCTGTTCTACTTTACGACTGCGAATCATGGTCATTAAGAGCAGGAGATACTCGTAAGTTACTAGTATTTGATCACAGATGTCTTAGTAATGTTACTCGCGTCTGCTGAGATCACCGGGTAGGTAATAGTGAGGTTAGACTCAGGGTATTAGGGAATGATGGTAAATCAGTTGATGAGGTTGTTAATCTTCATCGACTGAGATTGTTGGGTCATGTGTCACGTATGCCTGAACTCCGAATAACATGACGTGCAATGCTGACTAGTGTTGGAGACGGTTGGAAGGTTAGGGGCAGCCAAACTAAAATGTGGCATCAGTCCACAAAGTCACTAACTTTTGGTCTGAGCCATGTTGATAGATGCAGACTACTTGGTTAGGGTCCGCGCAACTATCGTAACCAGTGGTTGGAGGTTCTGAGTGACATGGTTCAGAATCAATCACAATGGCGTAGGTGTATACACACCTTGTCTTTCCTTAAACCGTGAGACTAAAACTGCTTTATACCCTTCTTTCTACGAACTAATTATTTCTTCCTGTATTATATCCTTATACACAAACTTTCTTTTATGCATTACTACCATTGAATTAACTACTATGAATCCAGCGTTCATCTTGTTATGCTAATGAAATATGGCAACTTGAACCGATGCATATATATGCCTGATCCTACGTTGTAGCTGACTGATAAGAGGTCCTCGTTTATCGCTAAAGATGTAAATAATTCGAATTTAGTGCAAATCATCGCACAAGTATGGGTTTTTAGACTTTTATATCAAGTCCTCCACACAGTATCGAGTGGTAATTCTCTCTTATGTAATTATCGTGAGGTTGGAGTACGTAGTAGTCTAGCTCATACGATGTCGACATATATTTCAGTTTTTCATCAAAATTTAGTATTTTTGATTCACCCAGATAGTTTCCATATGAATTCGCATTAATGTTTTGGTTTTGCATTCTTTTTATTTACAGACACCTCGAACTGGAGTGTAATTTTCATAATTTGGTGCAAGAGTCCCACTTGAATATCTGGCTAGATAATGACTTTTCAGGGACCGATGTTCATGTCAGGAGATTGACTGGTTGACAAAATGCAGTCATTCGACCACCTTAAGCAACAATGCAAGCACTTATAGAATGTGGTTCTTCCTTTCCAACTGTAACATGTCGCTCTAGAATCGGGTTGCGTGAGCGCTCGAATTAACGATAAGGAGTGAAGTAATTGAACGCCCCCAAATGCCTTGGTACGGCCGAGAGTGGGGAGAGTCCGCTATCCCTCTCGAAATGCTCTCACATGGCCACGCGTATACAGCCTCTGCCAGGGAAGTCCTACTCACTGCCTTCTCGTGGCGGGGGTGTTGTTTACGAAAATGAGAGGACGAAAAGCGAATGTCCGGCGCTATAACCGGATCCCAAACCAATGGTGCACATGGGCTCCAGTATCCTGCGAGAACAAATGGCGTATGAACCAATCGTTGGTCACCGGCTACCATGGGACTGCATCTCCTTACGATGCTCCACTGCCTTGTGGGTCAGACGTTCAGGTCGAAGGCTCGGGGTGTGGCCCCCTAAGAAAACCGCCTGCTCCGGTTTGGGCACCCGGGCAGTATCACAGCCCTCACACAAATCAATTGAGATTCGTGTGGCGCATATGTATTTGGTGCCTCCTTGTACCAATACCTATGTGTTAAAATAAATAAATAAAATATTTGGACGCATCGATCACTTCACTCATCTTGGGAGTCTCGTCAGTCTTGATGGTCCGGTGTGTGACGAAATCTCGACACGGGTTCAGAAGGCTCCTTCGGCTTTGATGGACTTGCATTACTTGTGGTGTAGGCGATATATCTGTCTGCCGAAGAAAGGACGAGTTTATTATGCAGCAGTTCACTCTGTCCTACTTCATGGATATGAAACATGGACATTAAGAGTAGGGGGTATTCGTGGGCTACTGGTATTCGAACACGGAAGTCCACGAAGTATTGCTCATGTATTTTAGGACCACGGGGTAAGCAATCGCCGGGTTCGGAACACGATACTACGTAAATATGGGAAATCGACTAATGAGGCTGTAAATCTTCATCAACTGAGATGGTTGGGATGTGTTATATACGGCCGATCACCGCATGCCTCGACTGGCGGTGCTTTTCGGTGCAGTAGACTAGAAGGAAGGTAAGGACAGTCCAACAAAAACATGATGTCAATCCATGGAGTCATCGACAATTGGACTGAACCATGTTAATAGGTGTACACTAGTTGGTTGGGGTCTGCATGATTATCGTAACCGTTGGTTAGACTTTGGATGATATGGTTCAAAATCACTTGCAGTGGTGCAGGTGCATCTAGAGTCAAAAAGGAAGATTTGGTGCAGATAAATGTAAAATACTTGATAAGAGAGAAAGACTTACATCATTTACATATTTTTCGGCATCAAACGATATCATTTTCAGTTAACGCTGCAAAGGCAATAAGTTCTGTGAATGACATTAAAAAAGACGAAGAATACTTGAATGAACACACAAAGAATATGCAGATGAAATCCATTTAAAAAGTCGTTTATGATAAAAAGGATTCAAATATGAATCACATATGACAGATAGGAAACTATCAAAGTAGTAGTCGACTGATTCTAGAAAACAAAATCACTAGAGTAACACTGAATAAAATCAAGGTTCGCACTGAGTTCTAGAAATGTGTTACTATATTCTATAGATAAAACATTTTCTCAGCTCAGAATTACAAAAGTGGGTAAATTTTTTGCCTACAACAAACAGTTAACTCTGTTAAGCACTCATGTCGAAAATGTGTGTTTTAAAGTGTAGTCGTTTTTTAAGTAAAATATTCATATCTTATGGGTTCAAACTTTTAGATTTTATAGTTCGAAACTACTTAGTTAGTTATAATAAACTAATTTGGCTAATATATGATCTAATGCAAGTGATCTAATGCATTGATATTTTAGTCACATTACCAAAAGACATTAATGTATTAGAATAATCTGACTTCGTGAGATAATGGGTTTATTTATTTATTTTAACACATAAGTATAGGTACAGGGAGGCACCAAATACATATGCGCCACACGAACCTCAATTGATTTGTGTGAGGGCTGTGATACTGCCCGGGTGCCCAAACCGAAGCAGGGAGATAATGGGTAAAAAGTTTTTATAGATGTAATTATCATATTTTAAGAAGGAATGGTTGGACACTTGGTATATAATGATGTTCATCTAAAAAAACCTTACGCATTTTCTGTTCTACGTTAGTGAATCGCCAAAATTATTATATCACTAATATTTTATTAGAGGTCGTCCTAAATTATGAGGATATCTGATATTTAATCTGATTTCGCTAATGTCTCGATGATTCAGATATACATTCAATTATATTCCAGTAACAATAGATAAGTAATAAGTTCAGCAAGAGAGCAAAGGCACACTTTGGGGACAAGAACTGAAAATAGGGTTTTTAGATAATTAAAAAAAGATGTTTATTAATGGATAGTCTATTAAAAATAAAACAAGTGTTGCTAGCCTGGACCGGTTTAAAGTAAACATTGAATCTACTGACTCTTTTTACAGGTCATTTAACTTGTAATAGGAAAAAAACATATCAACTCGCCCTCATGGAAATAGACTGCTTATCTTTTTAAACATTTATAAGGACGCGAAAGAATCTTAAGTCCCTATGTTGGTCCTAGTTACTGCTGAAAAAATTTACGAAAAGAGTCAAGGCTTTAACATGAAATGACGTCGGCTACTACGCAAAATTGCTCTATAGCTATATGAACGAAGTAATTTTAATTAAAAATGAATTGTCTGACTAGTCCAAATAAACATATGTAATGCGATCGACCTAAAGTTTACTTTAGGATTAAGAAGTTAGGGCTGTCATTCACGGATACATATACTCAATTTAAAGAGACGAAATAAGGCATATGTTGATTTAACAGTGTCAACGTTAATCTTTGATAGAAAAAGTGAGTTTACAACATTTTTTCAGGGATTTTTAGCAAATTTAAAGGAGTTTTTACTGCTTATTACACATGATACTTGAATTTCGTATTCGCGATTTTAGTTGGCTCGTCTATGAAATATAGTTTTGTGAGCATACCGTTCACACTCCTGACCTTGAGGACGGATAGCCCGGTGAAGTAAATGGTGTAAATGGTTCAAATGTTTG